TTCAATAGTTTTTCCCATTGAAAGGGCAACCATGCCAAGGGCGGATCCAGGGGGAGGGTCCCGAGGGTCAGGACCCCCCCTGACTTATCAATTAAAAAAAAGTTATTACGGGCAATAATTCTTTTTGACGTGAAAGAATTCTGGTAAATTATATATTTTAGTAAACTAATTGAAAACTCGATCGTCGAACCCGGCTTTTATATTTCTATTTGTTTGGGTTTCCTGTTTATTAAAGTCACGTGACCAGGTTAGCGCGCGCGTATGCAGAGTTGGCGGGAAACAGCCAGATAGTCAAGGCCTGTCAAGTGAAGTGAACGACTGTGCTCAGTTGAAAAAATGTCTAATAACTTAAAAATTACATCTTTCWTCAAGAAAAAAGAAGACAGTAAGTATGATTATTCCTTCGTTTATATGTATTGATACTCTAAAACCTTGTTGTGTGCTATTTGAGCTGTAATAAGCTTCAAAATCAGCTAACAACAATTGATATTTTAAGCTGCTGTTGACGATCAAACACCTCAAAGTCAAAGCGAGGGAAATAATATCGAACATAATGAAGATTCTCATTTAGAAATGGAAGGTAGGATAAAAAAAGATGTTAAAGGACAAACTTCGACGGTTACTGGGTCCCTATGAAACAAGAACATATTTTGTGAACTTTTTCAGCCGAGAATTGTGAACCACCTCTGGCTACCGACGCTACCGGCCGCGATTGTCATGATCAGAATATTGTTGCTGAAATTGAAAGTAAGATTAACTTCTAAGCTTATAGCTTATCATTTATATATCGTACTCTGAATAATTTATCCTTAATATTAATCAGATTAAATAATCGTATTAAGTACTTTGAAAGGCTAGACGACCTCTCATTTTTTTACCAGCTTTGCCTAATGAAATTATTTGCATAATATTCAAGTTCCTTAGTGTAAGAGAGATTATGAAGATAAGAATTGTCTGCAGTTGGTGGAGAMGTGTCTCTGAAAACAATTTATTGTGGAAAAATATTTGCCTAGATGAATGGCCTATTTATACCCTCAAGATGGAGCACCTAGAATATATAATGAGTCATGCTAAAGGGTTTAGATTATTTTCTCTTGCCTATACTAAATTGCTAGGATATAGAGGGGAGGTAGATGTTAGCGCACCACATTGTTTGATTAGTGGTCTATCTACTTCATGTAACCTTGTGTATGTAAACCTTAGTGGCCAATTTATCTTAAATATCGATTTTGTGCGCCACACACCAAAGCTAGAATACTTGTTTATAAATGAATGTTTTATGATAAAGGATATCACACAGGTGCGCCATTGCAAGGAATTGGCATATTTTTCGTTTAACAGAGTAATGATTAGTGAAGATGAAGAAAAGCTGATTCAACCCATTTTAGCTTTGCCAAAATTAGTTTTGCTTGGAATGAAAGATAATCAGATANACGATATCTGCATGTCCTAGTGTTTTATCATGTTATGGTGCAAAACTATAAATTTTTGTTCAAATGTGTAACACTAGGTGGATCTTCCAAATACAACGTTAAGATTCTGTGTGTGTACTGTAATAAATCGTGCATGTTTGATGTGTCTTGGCATTTTGATTTTATCTAGTTGCAGATCAAGATGTATCTCAGCACTATTACGATGTAGGAGACATTGTCTGTGGTAAAGTAGATTTAAAGACTCTCCAGGTTCCTGAAAAAAATAATTATATCAAAAGACATTTCACTCCACCTCCTTCTTATCAAAACTTTTTTTCTACAACTGTGACAAAGGGGAAAGAAAAAAAAACCAAGAAACTTGTATTTCAATCATCATGGTTGCAGAAATATAGGTGGCTAGTGTACAGCCCTTTACTTATGGGAGGTTTTTGTAAGTTCTGTGTCATGCAAAATGTCCTTCCATGGTCACAGAAGAAACAATTAGTTACAGCTCCATTTCAAAAGCTGGACAAAGCAAGTGGGAAAGACGGTTTTCTTGAGCGCCATYAGAGTACAAATGCTCATAAGCTTGCAGTTGATGCTGTTATGGCATTAATCYACTCGGTGGAAAAGCCAAAAGAAAGTTTGCCATATATAATTTCGCAGAAAAATCAAGAAATGTATGATAAAAATCTTAGCATACTAAGATCCATTATTAATACTATAATATTATGCGGCAAACAAAACATCCCACTTCGAGGACACCGAGATGATAGCACAAGCACTGCATCAAACAAAGGAAATTTTCATGCCATTCTTGCTCTATTGAGCACTACGGATGAAAATTTGCGAGAGCATTTAGAAATGTGCAAAAAAAATGCAACGTACACATCTAAAACTGTTCAAGAAGAAGTAATCCGTATAATCGGGAGCTATATACGAGAAAAAGCAACCAACGAAATCCAAGAGCGAAACGCTTTCTTCGCAATAATCGGGGATGAAGTAACAGACAAATACTCAAACCAAGAGGTTTTAAGTGTTTGCTTGAGATTTTTGGACTTAAGTGGTGATCAGTGCCCGAAAATTAAAGAAGTTTTCTTTGATTTTGTAAACCTTGATCAGACAAGCGGAAAAGCAATATCTGACGCTATATTGCAAAGCTTATCCGTGCACAACATTGATGTTGCACAAGCAAGAGGCCAGGCTTACGATGGTGCAGCTGCAATGTCCTCTGAAGCATGTGGCGTGCAAGGTCGAATCAAAAGAGTTGCACCGTATGCACTGTACACCCACTGTAACAGCCATGTATTAAATCTAAGCATAGCAGCTGCATGCAAGCTACCAACAATAAGAAACATGATTGGGGTAGTAAATGAAACGTACTTGTTCTTTCATAACTCCCCAAAGCGTCAAAGATTTTTCGAGCAAGTTCTTGAAATTTCTTCTTGTACTTCACGAAAGGCAAAGTTGAAAGGGCTTTGTAAAACCAGATGGGTTGAGCGACATGAGTGTTATGAAACTTTTTACGAGTTTTACGAGTTTATTTGTATAAGCCTAGAGGCTATTAAGGACAAAAACTCACATCCTGGCGTTTACCAGCCTCTAGATTTTTCATGGGATAGAGAGACCGTAATTAAGGCACAAGGCCTTTTTGCGTCTTTAGAGAAGTTTGAATGGCTTTTCACATTTCTTATTGTGAAAAACTGCCTGGAAACTGTAAAGCCAATTGCAGCTAAACTACAGAAGAGTGACCAAGATGTGTTTACTGCGTACTCGATGATAGATGATGCAATTGAAAAGATGGAACGGATNTAAGGTTAATTATATTAGATGATTTTCAAATTGGGCTTCCTGTGTCAAACCGCGCGGGAAGCCTACGTCATTTTTTTCCGGACCCCCACCCTTAAAAAATCCTGGATCCGCCCTTGATGGTCATCACGCTCTCGGAGTTATAAGAGAAATTTGATTGGATAGTGAGAGTGATGCATGATTAACTTCGCATATAACTCCTGATAACATACGACGGATTAGTACTACAGACGCTACACTCGTTGAGTTTTGACGATTATTACTACAGACGCTACACTCGTTGAGTTTTTTGAGATGAATAGATACTACCTTAATCTAAAAGGAGCTCGTGATACTACTGGTAGAGTGGAATTGATAGGAGAAGAGAATGCCATTTACAATGACATTGAGAGTCTGAAAGCGAAATGTAGAATCGTGGTGTCCAGTGATAGAGATAGAGCTGTGGAATATTTCCAAAAATACCCGCAGAAGGCCTTAATTTGTTTCATGGAACACTATAATTTGGAGTTACGTAATTTCAAGTCAAGTTACCAAGTGACTGGAGATCTGGATGCCCTTCTGAAGGATGTTAGCAAAGAAAAACCTTTGATATTGGAGGATGCAGCTAATCCGCAAAACTGCCGTGATATCCCTGGAGACCATTAAGCTGGATGATCAAGCATCTCTCTGGTCTAAAGTGAATGATTCTAGAGTTAATGCCCGGGGTTAATGTCATGTAATGATTTCATTTGGTAAGAGACTGTAAATCCAAGAATCGTGGACCCACGCTGAACTGGATTTGAATTTTGTCACGTTGTGTTTAAAACTTGATCATTTGACCTCTGCGTGTATGATATTTTTTTTTTGGGAATTTACGATTTGACTGTAGGAACAAGAGCTGCATGTAGTAGAATAACTGACACGTGTACGATGTTACTTAATCATAGTTGAATCACGTTTTAGCCATCACAAGGTAAATTAACAACTTGTCAACACCTGTGTTTGTAATTTTTTTTAGCTTCTTCCAACTTGTGTAATTGCAATGAGTAAAATAATTAAGCACAATTGTATTGTATTGTACCCTCATGGGCGACAAAAAAAAAACTCATTACGGTGTGACGTATTGTTTTCATCAATACGTCACATCCGCCCCACGTGGATATCCCATGCATCCCATGTGCTATTGAAATAGATATCAAGCTATTAAACCAGCTGCCGTGGCGGTGATCACGATTAGGTTAATTTCGTGACGTTTTATTGACATTCACATCCGGATTCGGTTTGAGCGGACTTGCTACGCTCATCTTCACCTCTGTTGATGTGGTAATACAAATACAATCTTTGAATGACCCATATTATGTTTGATACCAACAGATTTCATTTCAGTGTTTAATGAATCATTGAACCCGAATTTCATGTCTGTGGTAGCTTTTTGTAGCTTGTTGTTATAACCAACAGTTGACTGAGTATTGATAACTAATTTTGACGGTAATAACCAACAACCTGGGGCGATTGCGAAGTCAAGTTTAACCTTTGCTTCTTGAATTGCTAATTGATATCTTTGGATACTTTTAGAGATGTCATGTTCAACAACACCGCTTTCAAATAACTGTAAAAACACATTTTGAGTTTCTAAGGCTGAACCAGAATTTCCAGTAATGCTACTTCTAGTGTTTACTTGACTTCCAAGAATACAATAAACATACGATTCTAGACTTTGATTCAATCGTGACAGTCCAGCTTTAGTCAAGCCCAGTCCTTTCTGTAGGATAAAATATCTANCTTGATGGTCATCACGCTCTCGGAGTTATAAGAGAAATTTGATTGGATAGTGAGAGTGATGCATGATTAACTTCGCATATAACTCCTGATAACATACGACGGATTAGTACTACAGACGCTACACTCGTTGAGTTTTGACGATTATTACTACAGACGCTACACTCGTTGAGTTTTTTGAGATGAATAGATACTACCTTAATCTAAAAGGAGCTCGTGATACTACTGGTAGAGTGGAATTGATAGGAGAAGAGAATGCCATTTACAATGACATTGAGAGTCTGAAAGCGAAATGTAGAATCGTGGTGTCCAGTGATAGAGATAGAGCTGTGGAATATTTCCAAAAATACCCGCAGAAGGCCTTAATTTGTTTCATGGAACACTATAATTTGGAGTTACGTAATTTCAAGTCAAGTTACCAAGTGACTGGAGATCTGGATGCCCTTCTGAAGGATGTTAGCAAAGAAAAACCTTTGATATTGGAGGATGCAGCTAATCCGCAAAACTGCCGTGATATCCCTGGAGACCATTAAGCTGGATGATCAAGCATCTCTCTGGTCTAAAGTGAATGATTCTAGAGTTAATGCCCGGGGTTAATGTCATGTAATGATTTCATTTGGTAAGAGACTGTAAATCCAAGAATCGTGGACCCACGCTGAACTGGATTTGAATTTTGTCACGTTGTGTTTAAAACTTGATCATTTGACCTCTGCGTGTATGATATTTTTTTTTTGGGAATTTACGATTTGACTGTAGGAACAAGAGCTGCATGTAGTAGAATAACTGACACGTGTACGATGTTACTTAATCATAGTTGAATCACGTTTTAGCCATCACAAGGTAAATTAACAACTTGTCAACACCTGTGTTTGTAATTTTTTTTAGCTTCTTCCAACTTGTGTAATTGCAATGAGTAAAATAATTAAGCACAATTGTATTGTATTGTACCCTCATGGGCGACAAAAAAAAAACTCATTACGGTGTGACGTATTGTTTTCATCAATACGTCACATCCGCCCCACGTGGATATCCCATGCATCCCATGTGCTATTGAAATAGATATCAAGCTATTAAACCAGCTGCCGTGGCGGTGATCACGATTAGGTTAATTTCGTGACGTTTTATTGACATTCACATCCGGATTCGGTTTGAGCGGACTTGCTACGCTCATCTTCACCTCTGTTGATGTGGTAATACAAATACAATCTTTGAATGACCCATATTATGTTTGATACCAACAGATTTCATTTCAGTGTTTAATGAATCATTGAACCCGAATTTCATGTCTGTGGTAGCTTTTTGTAGCTTGTTGTTATAACCAACAGTTGACTGAGTATTGATAACTAATTTTGACGGTAATAACCAACAACCTGGGGCGATTGCGAAGTCAAGTTTAACCTTTGCTTCTTGAATTGCTAATTGATATCTTTGGATACTTTTAGAGATGTCATGTTCAACAACACCGCTTTCAAATAACTGTAAAAACACATTTTGAGTTTCTAAGGCTGAACCAGAATTTCCAGTAATGCTACTTCTAGTGTTTACTTGACTTCCAAGAATACAATAAACATACGATTCTAGACTTTGATTCAATCGTGACAGTCCAGCTTTAGTCAAGCCCAGTCCTTTCTGTAGGATAAAATATCTATATGGATGTTCCTCCAAAGGTGAAATATATTCTAATTCATGATCTCCCCATGAACCACTTTCATCCTTGAAATGGAAAAAAACAATTAGGCCACTTATTCGTATATTTACCATCTAATTTTTCGTCATACGCTTCTGTAACATTTATTTTACCAAAAATACTCTTATAGATACGCCCAAGTCCGTGATTATCTCCTGCAGTATAACGAAAATCGCTGTTGGTGGATATATCAAACTCACGGCAAAGTTTATCATAAGCATTTTTAAGAAAACTGTTGTTTATATTGTTGAAATATTTATCGCTGGGTAAGTTGTGTACGCTCATTTCAGCAAGTATTCGTCTGGTGGTAAATAAGATGTGAAATCTTATCAACGAGCTTATCATAGGATCATAATCATTATTCAGCATATCATAAGAAACACCACAACCAGCAGTCGAGCCCGACTGACCCTGTTTAAGACACTAAAAAGTCAGAAAATCCATACCCTGTTCAAGACAAATTGGAAAAATAAGGAATAGCTATCTGCACCGCAACCATCAAAAGTGCAATTATACTGAAATCCATGAAAGACAATAAGAAATGTTTGATAACACGTTAATCCTGGGACAGTGAAACGGTATTTCTACGGTATTTCTTATGAAAATATTACACAMAAAAAATTATATCGGTCTTTTATCTAAATTGTAGAGCCTGTTTAAGACAATTTCGGGTGAAATGTATACCCTGTTTAAGACAACAAGGCCAAAAACCATACCCTGGCCAGCGGCACGTCCCCGTATAGCAAATATATGGGAGTGATTTGGACAACAATAAAGACAATTGAACAGCTTGGTGAAAGCCGTCACACTACACCGAACATCGGTATTCGGCCGCAAACTACCACTCAGCACCCATCCCACCCCACCCCCGTCAATTAATAAATCTACTGAAGAATGATTATGCAAAGCCTGTATCGTTTGCTAATTCCTGAGCTGAGCTCTGATTGGCTCGCTACTCCCTTTGGATTTTGGTGACGTCATATATTAGCATAGATCTTCACCGAATAGACTACCCCAATTAGATATTAG